GTCAGGCCTCCATTATATGCATTTCTCCAAACAAGCTCCCACAGAACAGCCCTTTAAGCTTTGAGCACTCCAGAGATTTTCTGGCTCAAAGTTCCAAATACTTCCACAGTCCTTCCCCAAACAACACTGTTAAGTCTGTCTGTCACAGCAATAGCCCAGTCTCTTGTACCAATTTCTGTTCTGTTTTGCATTCTATTACTGTGGGGGGAAAAAAACACTGATTAGGACCAGTTTAGAGAGGATAGGGTTTATTTGGCTTACACATTCCAATCACAGTCTATCATTGTTGAAAGAAGTAAGGAAAGGAACTCAAGACAGGAATCTGGAGGTAGTAACTGAATAAGACACCACAAAGGAATGCTGATTACTGGCTTGATCTGCATGGGTCACTCAGCTTGATATATATATATATATCAAATGTGTGTGTGTGTGTATTTATACGTGTATATATATGTATATATATACACGTATATATATGTGTGTGTGTATATATATATACATGTATGTATGTATGTATGTATGTGTGTGTGTATGTGTATATATATATATATATATATATATATATATATATATATATACATGTAACCCAGGACCACATATATAGAGGTGGCATCACCCACAGTGGGCAGGGCCCTCCCACATCAATCATGAATTTTTTAAAAAATGACCCATATGCTTGCCTACAGGCCAATCTGATAGTGGCATTTTCCCAGTTGAGGGTTCCTCTTCTCAGATGTCCTTTGTTGGTGTCTAACCAGCACAGCACTCGTGTGTATAATTAAAATTGAACCCTGACAATTGGCTGGAATGTGTCGCACCTAGAAGTCACATATACTGCTGATAAAAAATATAAATAATGCCATCACTTGGCTCTGTCTCCTTAAGCACATATTTAACCTGTGCAACAATCCTACTTCCAGACATTTATGCAAAGAAATCTATCCATGAAATAGTCTTATAGTCACATTTGTTTATATAACATAAACTGGAACAATTGAAAATGCCCATCAACCAGCATGAAGGAAAACAAGCCATGAAATATGTACACATGGAATCTACTCCATAGTACCACAATAAATATAGCAAGATGGATTATCTATTACCAAAACTACAGAGCAAGGAAAACTTGTCTATAGTGACAGGGAAATAGATCAGTGACTTGTCTAAGGCTACATCAGTAGAATAGTGTCTGAAATGGGGCATGAGAAAAATTGGGGGGTAAATGTTTTATATTTTAATTGGAATGGTTGCACAAATGCATGCATTTGTCAAGACTCACAAAACCACCAACTTAAAATAAATGTATTTTACTATGCAAGTAACTTTTCCAAAAAAGTTCTCTTGAAAAAAGTCTAAAAACAAGCCACAGTGTAATCACACAATAAATACCTCCTAAAACTCAAATCATTTGAACAATTATACCAGAAAATAATCTTAGTAATTGCTTTATTTTTGCTCTATACTAATGAAAATGTAGCTTAAAATAATGCATCATCTTAATACGTTTAATGCAAAGATTTATGTCTACAATGTTAGTACCAATAATCAGAAAACAAAACATTTCTTTGTATATGCATGCAAGTCCATGATGTGGGTGTGCAGAGATGCATGTGTGCCCATGGACATGCATGTTGGTGTGGAAGCCAGAGAATAAACTCAGATGTTGGGCTGGGGAACACCAGCTACCTCCTTGGAGACAGTCTTTCATTGGCCAGAAGCTCACTTATTAGGGTAGACCTGCTGCTGGCCAGTGAGCCCCAGGGATCTCCTGTCTCCACACCTGCAGTGTCGGGATTGCTAGCACATGCCACCACACACAGTGTTTTTATATGGGTTTGGGGGAATCAAATTCAGTTCATGGTACTGGCAAGGTAGGTGTTTTACCTCTTCAATCACCTGCAAAGAACGAAGCATACCTCTTATGAGAAACAACTTCATTTTCACATGAGAAGCTGCAGCATGTTGATGGCTACCTTACAGTTATTTAGTGACGTGAGGTCGTGTCAGATGGGGTGTGTGATTTTCTTTCCTTACCCACTAGGCTCTAAAATGACAGGATTATTATTCCTCTAAAAAATAATTCTCTTTGCAGGTCTCATCACATGCTCAATTAATTTTCTTCCTTTCAGACTTTTATGCTAAAACACAAATTTTGTAATTAAATTCCTTACTATATGCACTTAACAATGCTTCACAATGGTGTATTTTTATTGCAATTTGATTATGTTGCTTGTGCAGGGATTTTATATTAACCTGAATTCTTAGACTTATGTACTAGAAAATTTATATGCACATACAAGGAGAGTTTTATACATAATATGACCTAATATGCATGAGTTTGCAAGCAATTTCCTCTCACTTGTCAGCGTGGATCCCCATTTTTATGACTCAGTTTTCATGACCTGTATATATTTATTCTAGTTCTTACTATATTAACCAAGTATGCTAATGATTCAAATCTCCAGGTCACTGCAACATTTTACAAGAGGGATGATATATAATATTTAGGATTGGTATCATTCTGTGGCACTTGAATCAGTGGTTAGCATCTCATAGGCAGCATAAGGATCTCAATGTAATTTTTGCATTTAAAAATGTTTTTTTCATTCTTCTACTTCGATTTTATATGAGACCTGGCCACCATCTTTCCCATAAGAATCCTTCTGTAGTGAAGTTTTTGAATTTACGATCTATGCTGTAAGGGTTAGCACCCTAAGCTTTGAAATTATTTTCAATAGAAATAAATAACATGTAGTTATTTTTTGTGAGCTCATAATTAATAAAGGATGAAGATTACTCAATTTGAGACAAGGATAGAACATGCAGCTGTGACACACCATGTTCAGATGATTGCTACAGAAAAAAAAAATGCTTTTCCTTTCTCAGAGTATTTGAAATTCAATGTACATGCAAATGGCAAGTCCAAATACTCAGCCACAGGACCTTTTCTTACCTGTACAATTCTCCCATGCCCAGGCTTCTTGTTCCCTCTAGGGATCTTGGGGGGACCTGGTGTTCCCTTACCATTTGGAAAGTGTGTTTGCCTCATTAGCTCAGAGACTTTGTTTGGCAAGGTAATATATTCAAACATTTGTTGCTTCTGTGGTGGCATGCAGTGAGGGTGGCAGTGAATAGATGAACTAATGGAAGCCTAACAGTGCCTTTGACCAACCTAGAGCAGCGTGTCTGCTTCAAGGCTTGACTTCCTACCTAGAAAAAAAGCGTGAAATAACCACCATGCTGAATGCCCATTTCTAAATAGTTTTTCTACAGTGCTGTGAATGAGTTCTTGAGTGATCTCAGCACGTTGTAGTTTCTAAGTGTTAGCCTTCTTGTTTAGCTGTTGGAAGCATAGGCTGGCTGGACCTGTTTCCATACAGCAAGAGCCAGCATTTATAACCTTCTCAGATGTCCCACCCTTCCCGCCGTGCCAAGCCCTAGTGTGGATTATCTATTAACTTTCACAACAACCTGATGAAATCAGTGATATAGATGTGCTGAGGAGATGGGGGCCTATGTAAGCTGAGCAACTTGTCCAAGTTCATACACATAGCAAGTGAAGAACTTGGGCTCAAAGCCAGTCAGGCAGGCTCCAAAGCTAAACTCATCTTTATTTCTTAATGCTTTCCAGCTTTTTAAAGCCATTTATCACTGTGTGAAGTTTTTGTTTATTGTTTCTGTACTCAAATACATATTTCTTGATTGCAGAGACATTGCATCTCCATCTAAAAAGCACTGTATGCACTACAGCAGGCATTAACTGAATGATTAGTATGGCTTTCTAGAGTGGGCAGTCAAAGGCATGGCAACTGGATCATCCCTATACGTTGATAGTTTTTACATTTGAGGAGTATTCATTCATTTTAGCTAGCAGTTTGCTCAAGCAGAAAACTCTTCAAACCGCTTAACAATAGGACTTCACAAATAAAACAAGTTCTCTTTAAAGACATGGCTATACACGGAGGAATTTTGACTATTCAGTAATATAAACGTCCATCCTGAGTGTAAAGACTGATACAGTTCAGACCCTTTCTGGGAAGAAAATCCTTATGTCTGGGAAGAAATTCTTTATGTCACTCATATCCCTTAAAGATGCCTAAGTCAAGAACAAAGCTAGCCCTAATCCCTGTGGGCTTAGAGAGGGTAGGCACAGACCCAGCTTTGCTTATGAGAATCTCCATGTTATAAGATGACTTCAGATCTTTCTCAGTTCCCACGTCTTTCACTAGTCAGTTGCATCTGATAATAGCACATGAAAGAAAATTTAACAAGGTGTTATACAGAACCACAGACAATCTAGGGTCACCAGAAGCTGCCTGGGTTTTGCCTGGGAAGCCGAAGCTAGTTCTCAAGCTGCTTTCCCATCCCCTTCCTTGTTTGGTCTTCAATTTTTGACCCCCTACCAACTTTTATCCTTTTCTCTTTTTATAATTTCCCATTCTGAATATGTCATTTGCCTCCTCATATAAGTGAAGAAAAAAGATGTAGCCACTGCAAAAGATATTCTTGTTGTTAACGATAACACTATGATATTGGAGCCCAACCTCATGCCCTAAACCCACATTTTGAAACTAAACAGTATCTCTCTGTATAAGTCTGAACAACCTTCTGTCTCAACTAGTACCATACCTGGGCTTCTTCTGGATCATCTGTGCACTTCCTTACCATAGAAACTAGCATGCTGTCATGTTAGGACTGCTTCACAAAACTGTAATTTTGAAGTTCCTAAATATAATTAGTCTATTATCTAAAAAAAGACACTATGCAAACATTTCAAAGGGATATTCTTAGTTGAAATAAGTACCTAGGGAGCACTTTTTCCCTGCCATGTCTTTATTTAAGCTTCCTCTTTTGGACTAGGTTATCTCAAACCAGAGTCTGGGACCTTGCTCTTCGATGTTGGAGCAAAGTTTACATTCTACTTCATTCATTTCCTACAGTTCCATTCCACAGTTGTTTTTGAAATGTTAATTGTGGTCTGTTGGTATATTCACATCCAGATTATATTCAATGCCCATACTGTATGAGGAGGTTTAACGAAACTGCTGCCCAGCGACACATTAATTTCTGCAAAACCCAGTCCTCTCGATGCGTGTTTGATCCAGCCCAAACAGCAGCTAGACTGGCATCCAGAGCTCAGGTAAATATCTTTCCTCCAGGTGTGGGCTTTGTGTCCTTGCATGCCTGGGGCAAATAGGTAGGCTCTACCCGGGAGCTCTGTGGTGACATATAGAATTCGAGCAACAGAGCTCAACCATCCTTCCATCCTCAGAAACACACAGGTCAGAAGACTCATCTCTGTCGTGGGAGTTGTCTACTTCTGGCTTGAAGTACCTTTGGGTGTTGCAGGAAAAAAATTATTTCTAAAATGTTTGAAGCCTTTCAGGATGAAGACTTCAGTATATAAAGAATGTCTCTATAGCATTACACTAATCCCCTGCTTATTCAACAGTGTTTATCAGCCTAACCCACCCAGAAAAGAACTATGACTCAGAGAAACTGCTCTGGGTGGGAGAAATGTTGCCAAGAAGATGCCTCACAGCTTGGGTCCTGATCTGGAGAGGAGAAGGGGGATGGATGAGATACACAACATGTCTAGTTTATGGCCTGAGGCGCCAACCAAAGACACAGAGTCTCTGATGGGGATTGACAAGACAGAACAGCAAAGGCAAGGGATTTAGAAGGGTTATGGTTCAGCCAGTTCAGATTGGAGGGTGAAAGGAATCGATCAGTTAGACACTCAGAGCTCTGGGAACAGCCAAGCCTGAGAGTCTGGGAGCAGGGACAGGAAAATATCTGGGAAGCCAGGCTGCCGCCTTCCCACCTTCCTTTCCAACCTTTTCCCACGACTTCTTCTTTTTCTTTTTTTTTTTTAAATTGAAACAGGGTTCCTCTGTGCAGCCATGGCTGTCCTGAAACTCGCTCTGTAAACCAGGCTGTCCTTGAACTCAGAGATCTGCCTGCCTCTGCTTCCCAAGTGCTCGGATTAAAAAAAGACGCGTGCCACCATGCCTGGCAGCATAGTCTCTTCTGTCCCATTGTCTGTCAGTGGCTTCCTGTGTCCTCACAGTCAATGTAGATGTGAATGTAGCAGGGAAAAGCAGAGTGGCATGCAATGGACTTTTAGAAGGGTCACTTCTGCAGTGACTGTCCAAGACAACTGAGGGCAAGCAGGAAGGGGACACAGTGGGGAAATTAGGGATCCTGGAGTGAGGGGACTAATAAGAGAACTGGATAAGGAATAATTAACGAAGCCGAGAAAATGATTGGCACTAAAATAAAACTGGGCATTAGTGTTTGGGCATCTAGATAATAGTACAGGTTGTAAATCCCTTATCTAAGATGATGTTTCAGGTTTACCCAAAAATATTCAGAAATGTCTCTGATTTTTATAATTTTTTTTTTACAAAATTGGCATATGCATGTATACCTAATACACATAGCCTGAAGGTAATTTATACAAACTTTCCCATGTGCCTGTGTTTCAACTGCAACACATCCCATGAGGTCATCCGTGGAAATTTTCTCTTGTGACAGCATGCTGGTGGTCAAAATGTTTCTGATTTTGGAGCATTTCTGATCACACGTCTTTGGATTAGAGGTGCTCAAAACCTGAGGGAACACAGGCGGGAGGATACATGACACATGCGTGTTGGGTGAGTGGTGAATACAGGTCTTGAGGGTTAGTCTTCCCAGCTGAGATAGTGGAAGGGGAGGGCGCCGTGTGGAGAGCCAGGACCCTGGCATCAGCAGCAAGGGTTTGACTTTCCATTGTGTGGTTGACTGTTTGTAGGTAAGTCTTTGAGATTTACCTTTGCCTGTAAATGACATTAATCGCGTATAACTAGTTGAGTGGTTGGAAATCTGGCCCTGGCCCAGAGAGTCCTTTGCCTGTTCTCTCTCCACTTACCTCATCCTCCTTCCCCTTTACAAAAGCCTTTCCTCTTGCTGGGGTTGGAATCACAATTTTGAAGGACCATGGCAGCTTTAGGCTTGAATTCAACCTAAGTGTGGAGAAGTCTGGAGGTTCAACTCTTCTTCCACCATGTCCAGCAGTACCAGCAACTGACATTACGACAGACGGTCTGTCCGATCCATGGAGCTTGCCAGTGTTCGCAGGGCCAAAGAGGGTGGAGGGAATGAGCAAACAGAAGTGGTTTTTTTTTGTTTTTTTTTTTGTTTTTTTTTTTTTGCTTGCAAAGAAGGCCAGCTGGCTATCCCGAGCATAACCAGTGACTTGGCCCTGTTCCCCTCCTTGTTTTCCAGAGCTTAGTAGTGACTGGGAGCACAGAGGGGAAATTGCTTGCTCCCTGAATTCCTTTGCTCTCTGTCGAGCATGTCTGAATGGCAGTGTTTTCTCCCCGAGTGCCAACGCCACCACTCTGGGATCTTGCCTAATAGTGAGCTTGTTCAGAAATGGAACAAGAAGAGAAAGTTTGTTTCAGGCTTTGTAGGACTGTTCATGGCACAGCCAAAATGTGTTTCTATTTCAAACATAATCAACGTTAAAAAAATCTGCCATTCCCTTAACCAGAGGAGACCAATATTGGCCTCTAAAAATAAACTTTTGGGGGCAAGAGAGATGGCTGGATGGGAGCATTTGCTGTGAAAGCAGGAGGACCTGAGTTCGAATCCCCGGCACACAAAAGCCAGTCGTGGCCACACATGTCTAGAATGCTAGCACTGGGGGCAGAGTCAGACAGATCCTGGGAGCTTACTGGCCAGCCAGATAGCCAAAACATCGAGCTTCCAGTTGAAGGACAGACCTTGTCTCAAAAGACAAGATGAATAACAATAGAAAAGGATATCCAACACGCTCCTCTGACCTCCACATGCTTGGGTAGACACTAACATCAACTTGAACATGTACACATACACCCCATACACACAAAATACTAACAACAACAACAACAACAATATTATTGTTATTATTTTGGCTGCCTGAGGATGGATGATCTGTCCTATCACAATGATCCTTGCATTGGTGAGGAATTTACTTAAATAACATTGTCTTGGTGCTGTGTTTTCCAAGGGCCTGGAGATAGATCCACAGCAAGCTACAAGGGGCCTCCCCAGAATGCTTTGGTCTTTGTTTGCTTTCCATCTGTGCAGTGTGCAGCTGCTCTGTAGGACTAGCGAAGGCCTAGGGGTATTGGAATTCTATGCTTAAAACATGTGCTGCCTGTCAATCTCCGTTTTCCATCTCTGTTCTGGTTAGGAAACAAAGCCATCTTCAAGGGTAAAGAAAAATAAAACATTCCATAACTATATCCTGACTGACATTAAATGATTTCTTCTGTCCACACACAACTGATTTTATAGGATGAACAGACCACCACCAACCCTGAGGGCTTCCTTATGAATGAATGTTCCCAAACCAAACTGTGGCATTGAGCACCAGCAAGAGACCACAGCCCAGGCTAACAGAAATGCTGGGTGTGTGTTTCCTTCTTCTGGGTGCGAGAGTCCCCGTGATGACTCTAACCTTCTGCTAGTTGAGTGAATACTAACTAGTTTACCTCACGCTTGGTACCCAAGGTTCCGGTGTTGTGTCTCTTTCTATCTGTAGGGTAAGGCCCAGGCAACTCCCAAAAAACAACCAACTGTTACGAGTGCTGTGGGAACTCTGCTGCAGAACAGGGCTGTGGAAGCCAAGAATGACGTCACGGCCAATCCAAGTAAGTCAGAGCATGCACTTGGATTGTCCAGTTATGGGGGCAGAGCCGGCATCCTGCCGTGGGGATCTGCTGGTGGTCAGTAAATGCTAAAATGGCATCCAGTGCTGCTGCTGCTGCTGCTGAAAACACACACACACACACACACACACACACACACACACACACACACACACACCACACGCACACACCAGCTTGTTTGAGGTCGAAGCTTATTTACCAAGAGGGGATATTTCTTATCAGGATGGCACCACTCTGACCAAGTGGGAAGTCCTGTTTGGTGACGGCGGCAGGAGCCCACAGCTGTTTCTCCTCAGTCTGCTAACCCTGAGAAGGCTGAGATTGGAAGCTCACAGGTCGGGTGGACAAAGGAACAATTTCTCCGGAGTAGCAGCAAGCACAGCCATCATTACAGTACCGGCCTTGTGCCTCCCAGGGACCCTCTACATAGTTTACCCTGCCGCCTACAGACGAGGAAACTGGGGCTCAGAGAGGATATGTGACCTTGCTAAGGCACATAGCTGGTAACCAGCAAGTTGGATTAGATATCTACTGTACTCTCCACCCCCAGTGAGCTGCACAGTAAACAGGGTTGTCTTCTCTATGCCCAACATGCATTTTTATAAAACCAACCTACAAAGAACAAATTGCCCTATGGCATTTGCATGCCTACTTTGCTTGTCTCTCCACGTCCCCTTCCCCTCCCCCCAATTTCCCTGGCCCTGATCCTCCTGTTCCCTTCCAACCCCAGGACTCACTACTTCTGCTTACATATCACTTGTCAACAGGCACTGTTCAGACAGCGTATATTATTTCACAGCCACAGCATCACTTCTGGACAGTAGTCATGTTTTGAAGTTATCAGCCAGTCTCCACCTGAGTGACAGCACCAAGAAGATTGGCTGTTTATTTGGGGTGGCTTATCTCAGGCTTAAAAACCTAAGGGAGGGTCCAGGGAGATGGCTCAGTGGGTAAGAGCGCTTGATGTGAAAGCATGAGAATTCCAGTTCAAATCCCCAGTAAAAACCTGGGTGTGGCCAGACACATACCTTTGCCCTCGAGCCGTGGAGAAAAGTGATTAGAAGATTGGTGCCAGTCTAGCTGGATTCAGTGAGAGACCCTGTCTCAAGGGGAGAAGGAAGAGAGGGATAGAACAAGACACTGATATTCTCCCCTGACCTCCACACGCCTACACCCACACATGTAAGTGTGCACATACAGCATGCACAAAATGCCATATACGTATGCCACACACACAACACAAAGACCTGAGTCAACACTTTAAACTTGTCTGCACAGCCTTATGAACCCAAGTTGTTAGAGTTTTGTTTCTTTGGCTTTGTTTTGGCAACAATACTATTCGTATTTTTTAATTAAATTTTTTTTTCATTTTTTCCAAACATTTACCATCTTAACTATTTTAATGTACAGCTCTGTGGTATTAAATGCATTCATCATATTGCACGAGAAAACTCCACCACCTGTTTCTATCCCTTGTCCCGTTCTGAGAACGGAGCCTGGGTCTTTGCACACTCTTCACGAGGGTTCTACCCCTGAGCTGTACCTCAATCCCTCTTTTTGTTTCTTTTTAAATTACATTCATTTAGAGTGTGGGCATGTGGGCATGCACATGCCGTGACACTCCTCTGCAGGTCAGAGCACAACTTGGAAGAGCCAGTTCTCTCCTTTTATCATTTGGGTCCTGGGGATCAAACTCAGGCAGGCAGGCTTGACAGTAAATACCTTGACTTGCTAAACCATCTTGCCAGCCTTATTTTGACTTTTTTATTTTCAGAGACACACTAAGTGGCCCAGGAAAGGCTTGAACTCATTTTAGAACTCCTGTAGTCCTGGAATCTGGGATCCTCCTGCCTCAGCCTCCCCAGTAGCTGGGTGTACAGATCTTTCACTCTGTAAAACTGAAAGTGTGTACCCATTAAACGTTAACTCTGTATTATCTCTTCTCTTGTTCTTCTATGATCTTGTCTATTTCACTTATTCCCACAGCTGCACAGCATTTCTATATTTTCATGACTATATTATTTCTTAGGATTAAGGCTTAGGATAATGTCTTCAAGGTCCAGCCATGATGCAGCATATGTCAGAATTGGATTCCTTTTTAAGGCTTCACATTTCATTGTGCATGTGTGTGTCTACGTGTGCATGCTTATTCCTCTACTTATCCGTCGGTGTGCAGTGGGTTGTACCCACAGCTTAGCGACTGCAGACATGGCCAAGACTCTTCTTTCAGTTCCGTGAGACCTGACTTTCAACTCCTGGGGTAAATACCCAGGAACAGAATTGCCAGGTCTTATAGTAGTTCTATTTTTAAGTTTCTGAGAAGTCACATGATGTTTTCTATACCAGCTGTAGAATTTTACATTTCTACCTACTCACATTGTTCAAAGAAGAGATCCATGTTTCCCTGTCTTCACCAAGTCTTGTGTGTGTGTGTGTGTGTGTGTGTGAGAGAGAGAGAGAGAGAGAGAGAGAGAGACAGACAGACAGACAGACAGACAGACAGACAGACAGACAGAGAGGAGAGTGTAGCATGAATCTTAGAGAGTCTTACTAATAAAATCAAACCCGGAGCCAAGTATTGGGGTGAACACTGGAAAGTCAGAGAGTCAGAACAAGCCACAGCTAACCTCACCTGGCCAACTTCTCAGCTGATCTTGTTTCCTCAGACTGGAAGCCTCTGTGTCCTCATTTCCAAATGGCACTCAGCTGAACTGTGCTCCAAAGCCTGAAAGCTTAACCAGTCAAATGCTTAACCAGTCAAATGCTTCTAGTTTCTGATCCTCATGCCTTATATATCTTTCTGCCTTCTACCACCACTCCCTGGGATTAAAGGCTTGCTTTCTGGGATTAAAGGCGTGTGTCGCCATGCCTGGCTGTTTCCAATGTGGCCTTGAACTCACAGAGATCCAGAGGAATTTCTGTCTCTGGAGTGCTAGGATTAAAGGTGTGAGTGCCACCATTTTCTAGCCTTTGTATCTAGTGGCTGTTCTGTCTCTGACCCCAGATAAGTTTATTAGGGTGCACAATATTTTGGGGAACACAATACCACCACAGGAGAGAAAGAGGCCATCCTAATGTATGGAGTGATATGCCATCGATACTTTGATATGTACTTGCTTAATGATTTAGAATGCTAAAAAAAAAAAACCTTTTTAATGGCTTATTGACCATTCATGTATTATCTTTGGAGAAATGTCTACTCAAATCATTCCCATTTTTAATTTACTGCTGTGTTAGTTTCTTTTGAATCACTGTGATGACCAAATACCCAACAGAAACAACTTAAGACAGGAAGGGATTTCATAGTTGGTTTTTTTTGGGGGGGGGGCACCACCCAGTTTACAAATAAATACATGGAGACTTATTCTTAGTTATGAATGCCCAGCCTTAGCTTGGCTTGTTTCTAGCCATCTTTTCTAACTTAAATTATCCTGTTTCTCTTTAACTATGTTTTGCCTCTGGGCTTTTTACTTTTCTTTATTCTATATGTCTTTCTTCCATTCTTACTCCATGGCTGGCTGTGTGGCTGGGTGTCAGGCCCCTGGCATCCCCCTGTCCTCCTTTTTTTTTTTTTGCTCCTCCTCCTCTCTTGAGCCTAGAATTCTCCTTCTATTTATTCTCTCTGCCTGGCAACCCTGCCTAACCCTCTCCTGCCTTGCTGTTGGCCGTTCAGCTCTTTATTAGACATAAAATCAGGTGTTTTAGACAGGCAAAGTAACACAGCTTCACAGAGTTAAACAAATGTAACATAAAAGAATGCAACACATCTTTGCGTCATTAAACAAATATTCCACGGCATAAAAAAGTGTAACACATCTTCAACTAATATCCCACAACAGGATTCATTTAGGCTAGTGGTTTCAGAAGTATCAAGACATACATATGAGGGCATGGCATGGAAGACAAGCTCACATCATGGTGGCCAGGAAGCAGAGGAAGGAATGCATTACTGAGCTGACTTTCTTTTTCCTTTTTCCTCTTTTATTATTTGAGTCCCCAGTCTGGATAGATGGTACTTCCCTCATGAAGGGTGGGGTCTGTCTTCCTAGCATAGCCATCTGCAAATGCCCTCAAACACATACCCAGAAGTGTGTTCGACTGATCTCTAAGTAATTCTAAAGGCATTCAAGTTAACAATCAAAATTAACCATTTGGCTTGTATACTTTTCTGTTGCTGTGATAAAATAACCTGACAAAAGGAAATTAGTAGAAAGGGTTTATTTTGCTTCACAGTACTCTCACAGTATGTGACAGTAGCAGCAGCAGGATCTTGAAGAAGTTGGTCACATTCCATCCATAGTCACGAAGCAGAGAGCAATGAATCCTTATACACTGCTCACCCTCTGCTCTTTATACAGCTCAGCTGCCTCAGCCTAAGGAATAATGCACTTATAATAGGTGGGCCTTCCCACTTCAGTCAACTTACTCAAGATAATACCCTAGAGGTATACACAAAGGCCCATCTCCCGAGTATTCTAGATTTCATAAATTGAAAATTGAGATTAGTCAATCACAACTACACCTCTTATCACCTTGATATCCAAATACAACATCATTTTAATCATAACCTTTCACTCCTTATCACCAAAGTCTCATGTTCATCTCATAAATCAATATACAATCCAACTTCAAATGTTCCCATAGCCTAACAATTGCATTGGTTTAAAAAGTCTGAAGTCCATTTCTCATCTGAGACTTGAGGTGATCTTTAGCTATAATCTCTGACAAAATTAAAAAGAAGTTGCATGATTCCAACATACAACGGCACAGAGTAAACATCATCATTCCAAAATGGAATACTGAGGCATAGCAAATGAGTGATTGGACCAAAATGCCAAAATTCAAAGGGCAAACGCCAAATCCTAAAACTCCATGTCTGGCATCTGAGACTCAAGATGAAATTTGCTGGAATCCAAAATTTTTAGCTTGTCCCACCCTTCCAGCTAGGCCACATGCATAACACATAGCCTCTCTCTAAAGCC